AAAACTACTTGCCCCGGGAGATCGGGCGATGGTTAACATCGAGCCCTGTTATTTACCAGCAATCTCTTGGTAATATATGTCCACCCTGACTTGTAGCAGCTCTCCCAGTCAACCTCTAAGGACTTTTCCTATCCACAAAATACTTTATATTGAATGATATTTGCAAATGAAAATGCAGCTCGTGATGCAGCCAGTTCTGGTGAACTGGTTTCCTCTGGTGGGGAAAGGTCATTTTTCATCTAAAACACACTTTTTTGGAATTTGGTCCAATTTAACTTTTGTTTCATCATCACTTCTGTTCATCCCTAAATAAACTTTAGCTTTAGCTAGAGGATGTTAATGAGTCAATGCCAGAGGAATCCTACCAGGACAGTTCAATGTATGTAAGGTTCATCTGATGACCTAAAATTGATTTTAAGTCTTTACTGAGAAAAACTCAATGTTAAGATTTGATCAAAATATGAAGAAAACAATATCCCCCTCCTTGGGAACCCTCCCACCTTAACATGGTGGAGGGTTTGTCAGTGCTCTGATGATTCCGGAGACTATGTTGTCTGGAGCTTATATGCCCCTGCAAGGGTCTCCAAAGTCTCTGTGATTACTCAGACTGGGCTGTTCATAATGACCTTATCATAACCAAAGTAATCAAGACAATCGACTTCGCCCAGTACAGCAGAGCCAGGACCTGTCCATGGAGCCTGGAATGGACCCAGTGGGACGTAAGCGCAAGAATGTTGTATTTGTAGTATGAGTGCAGATGAAGAAAACAAACTAACTTTCAGATTTCTGTTTATTTTCAAGAGGAAATGTATCTCTAGGATGGTGCAAAAGGTTCTGTATGGATTTATCAAGCACTTTTTTTTTACATCACAAAATACTTTCCTTTCAATATGTGTAAGCAGACTTTTGAGACCTACTGTATAATTAGAATATATACTAAGTGAAACATCCTTTTTTCCTGTATTACTATGAATGTTTTTTGTTACTTTCCTAAACAGGATTTTTTTTTCTTTCTCTTAATTAGTTCAGTAGTATATTTGACTGTAGTATGTTTATTGTATTAGCCATAAAGTCACAGACTGTATGCCTACCTCAGAGTAATGAAACAAAGCCACACCTGAGTATTGTGGCGGTCTCTGCAGCAAAGCTTCCACGTCAACTGGAACTGATCACTTTTCTAAAAGGCAAAAGGAAAACATTTAAATGTATTTGGATGCTCAAAACTTTGGAAAGCATTTTGTAGACATGGGCTTCAACTTGTCAGTCATCTGAGGTGAACTCTCTTTTTTTTCAATAGTATTAACAATATATAAATTCCTTCACCAACAAACTATCAATTATGCATTATTTTCTTGTTGTATATGTAGGGTTGGCAAACAATGCCTTTTATTGCAAAATGAGCCAGTCTCCCTCTGTGTTCTGGTTCAGCTGTCAGACTAGAAGTCCTTGAGTTCCTGGTAAAGACAAGGAATCATTCACCCTCTAAATTAAATCCTCCATAAGAAACCAAAAATATGACTGCTCAGCTAAGGGTCAGAGCTAGCAGCCACTGCGGGCTTAGTTATCTCTGGTGTTTAAGGGGAACTCAGAATGACAAGAGGCAGCACTCTGGGTCACAGACGAAAATTTAGAGAAGAGCAGCAGAGAGGGAGCATCGATATGCTGGAGGGGATAAGTATATTCCTTTTTTCATCATGCTTATCCCTGCTGGGGTAACGAGGGGATAAATATTGACTTAAAATATGATTTCATATCTCCAATTGATGAGGAATTTATAGGAAAGCCACAGCCAAGCAGAAGAGCTCTAAAACCAGTTCCCATGTAGGAGGAGGGAGGAGAGCACATACAGTTAGTCACAGTAAGAGTGAAAGGGCTACACTAAAAAATAGGCCAAGCTCCAAAATCTATGAACAAATGTTGATGGCAGCAGCATCTCTGGGATGAAGAAACAGCCAAACAGGAGTAGACCAGATGAAGCTACTTTGATTAGAGAAAGCAGCGAGACTTGAAAGTTAAAGGTTGACCTAACAATTAGAGCAGAAATCGAGAATAGGGATAGAATGAAGCAAAATGTGGAAAAGTGGTCTCTATGTCCTCCAGCAGTCTAATCCTATAGCAGCATAACTATAGATAGCTGAATGGATAATCTGAACCCCTCTAACCATAAGCTTTATTAAAGAAGAAAGTTTGAGCCTGGCCTTGAGAGTAGACAGGGTGTCTGCCTCACGGACTAAAACTGGTAGTTGGTTCCACAGGAGAGGAGCCTGATAACTAAAAGATCTGCCTCCCATTCTACTTTTAGAATGTTTAGGAACCACTGGAAACCTTTTTTTTTTTGAGAGCGAAATGCTCTCTTAGGAATATAAGGAATAATCAGATCCCTGATACCAGATGGTTATTTAAGGCTTTAAATTTGAGAAGGGGAATTTTCAGTTCTATTCTGGATTTACCAGGAAGCCAATGAAGAAAAGCTAAGATAGGAGAGATATGATCTCTCTTTTTAAAATTTTTATCAGAACTCTGGCTGCAGCATTTTGGATCAGCTGAAGGCTTTTAACTACAGTTTCTGGACTTCCTGATAGTAAAGAATTACAATAGTTCAGCCGTGAAGTAACAAAACAATTGACTAGTTTCTCTGCATCAACCCTGGAGAGGAATTTGTTGCAATATTCCGCAGATGAAAGAAGGAAATTCTAGAAACCTCTTTTAAAATAGGATTTAAATGACAGGTTGTGATCAAAAATAACACCAAGGTTTTCTAATTTACTATATGGGGTCAATATAACCCATCCAAATGAAGTGACTGACTAATCAGCTTCCTTTTCATGGACTTTGGTCCAAAGACTATAACTTCTGTTTTGTCTGCATTCAAGAGCAGAAAGTTAAGAGTCGTCCAGGTTTTTATATCTTCAAACATGTCTATAGTCTTTGTCATGGGTTAGTTTCATCGGGATTGAGATTGAGTATCATCAGCAAAGTTGAAATTAATCCCATGATGTCTGATAATTCTACTAATTGGGAGCATACATACAGTAAAGAGAATAAGTCCTAGCACTGATCCCTGTGCTACTCCACAGGCAACCCTGGAGCAGGAGGTAGATTTATCGTTAATGTAAAATAACTGATATCTATCAGATAAATACGATTTAAACCAGCCTAGTGTAGTTCCTTTAATTCCCACAAACAGTGCAAGCCTTTTTAAGAGGATATTATAATTGACTGTAAAATCTAACAGGGACAAGCATAGATACAACTCTATTAAATGAGGCCATGAAAATATCATCAGTGACTTTCACCTCAGCTGTTCCAGTGCTATGATGAGCTCTAAAACCTGACTAAAACTCTTCAAAAAGTTCATTATGGTGTAAGTGGTCACCCACATTTTTAGCAGGAAGATTAAATATAGGTTTATAATTCACCAAGTCATCTGGGTCAAGAGATGGTTTCTTAAAGCTTTAGTTAGAGTTACCTTAAAAGCCTGAGGTACATATCCCTGTAGGGATAGATCAATCATGCCTAAAATGGAGGTGGAAATCAGAGAGAATACTTCCTTAAATAACTTGTTTGAAACTGCATCTAACATACAAGCTGATGGCTTAGATGAAGATAGTAGTTTCATTTCAAAACGGTCTAAACCTAGTTCAGATTATATAGTTACCTCAGATTCTGACTCCGGAGATAAACCAATCATATTTAGAGGGTTGCCAATTATCTTATTTTTAATAGAATCAATCTTATTTATAAAGAATCCCATAAGGTCATTACTGCTAAGAGCACGGGGGACGGATGGTTCAACAGAGCTATGGCTTGGTGAGTTTGGCAAATGTATTAAGAAGAAATCTATGATTACTCTTATTCCTATCTAATAATCAAGAGAAATATCCTGCTCTTGTTGTACAAAGCATCATCATTTACAGCAGTAAACAGCTTTTCCATGCATAGCAAAAGGCAACAACAGTCGAACAAGTGTCAGCTATTTGATTTGCATTTGACTCTACGACTAGACTCCTGAATAGGTCTTGAAAAGTCATTAAAAAAACTGAGCAGAAGTCTGGTTTTCATCCAATTTAAGCCTGTTTTTGGTTGCAATGATCTGGATGACTTTACACATTTCTTTTTGATTTTACACAGGCACAATCTGCTAAAGTGAAACCTTCTCTTGGGGGAGAACTCTGTCAAAGTAATTTTGAAGGTTGCTAAAAAGAGGCCAACGTTGTGAGGAAGTACTGTTATTTTTTTTACATTCCATGCCATATGTCAGCACAGGGTCCAAAGTATGAAGACGAGAATGTGTAGGACTATGCACATTTTGAACATAGCCAATCGAGTCTAAGATGGCATTAGAGCCTGCAATTAAGCTATCACCTTCAATGTTGTCATGAATGTTAAAATTCCCAACTGTAACGACAGACAGGAACTCTGAAAACTGATCTAAAATTTCAGAATAAGGACCTGGTGGATGAATTAAGTTAATACTGGGGCTGGCTTAATTTAAACAGTATTGCCCATGGTAATGCTGGCGGAACTGCAGGGATCCAGAGGTTGTTTTTGTACAAGGAGATCAGAGGGAATGCAGGACCTCCACTGCAAGGAAAACTGACAATTTGAACTTGTTCTGCACGAGAGTCTAACGTCAAAAGTAAAGTAAAATCAGCTATTTTTGTATCTGGATTAAAACAAACTTTTCGTTCAGTTTGACGTACTGCGAACTGGTGCTGAGTACAATTAGCTTAATCCTTGCCATGTTGCCATGAACTGGATGATTGAGAATTTACACAGGCAAGCTCAATTTATTCTTTAACACGTTAAAAGAAGCATATCAAAATATCAAACTAGAATGCCATTGTCATAGCAACACATGGCATTGAGCCATTTGGAGCACAGGAAGGGGATCATAAATTATAGCTCAGCTTTTAATGATCCCGTTTTCCACACACCCTCGCCTCTAACATGCTTAAACTGAGCCTCCCTTTGCTTAGTGGTTGTAGAACTCTCAAACTGACCCATCCCAGATCATAGGGCCTGGACCTCACCCTCCTGCACTTGACTCAACACTGGAGTTCCAAAGCTCTTTGCTCTCCTTTCCGTCCTCTACTCCCTGTTCATACAACTGAATGGCAGCCAACTCAGACAAAAAATGCAACTTTGAATGCCTTAAAATCTTGTTTAAAGTCTTGTCTTTTAAACTTGGCTCTTAGCTCCATTTAAACCGAAATATCAGGCTGAGTTTAAATAATTTTTTACTTTCTAATCTATTCATTGTTTGCTGTTTTTCCATAGAACTGCTCCATTACTAGGTCCCTTTAGCGATCTAAAATGCTCTATAAATAAAGATCGATTGATGGACTATTCATCGCTGGAATTTAGGAGATTTTTCTGCCAAAATCTCTCAATGATCTTAACCCGAACATTCAATGCCCTCATAAAACAACAGGTGGTCTCTGGAAGTCAGAAACAAGGGATTACCTTGGCCTTTTGCTCAGTACACCATACTTCTTTTGACAGTCTCGCTTATTCTAAGATGCTATCATTAGTTAAACAGCTGCATAGATTTAGTTTTACTTTTATGAACATCTTGGACCCCTTTCACCCTCAGAACTGCCTTCAGTTGTCATGGCAAAGATTCAGTACGATTCCTGGAACATTGCTCTGGCATGTTGGTCCATGTTTACCGATAGCATCACAGAGTCGCTGAAAGTTTAGCAGCTCCTCTTCCACTTCCTCCTGATATATTGTGTTGAACTTAGAATTGGTATATAACATCAGACTTTGCTGCTGGAAGCAGATACCAGTCCTGTGTTCACAAAGGAATGGACTTGGTCAACAGCAGCAATGCTGATTTGGGCTGGTTGCCAAGAATACTCCCACCATCATTATGTAGCAGCCCACAGACTGAAATGATGGTCTGTGAAAGGATGGACTGTTTAGACCAAGTTTTAGAAACAACCATAAAAATGCAGCAGCTGCAAAAGACAGCAGCTAAAATTGATTCTTCACACCAGATTGGTATTGTTCATGTCTGGCAGCAGGGGTGGAGCTAGATGGGGGGACAGGGATGGCCGTGGCCACCCTTAGCCAATCATTGGCCACCCCTGTGGCTACCCCTACCATTTTTCCCTCTAATATAGATGGTAGCAGCAGTAATACTCTCAAGTGGAATATTCATTTACTTACTATTTTTCTATGTATTCATAATTTCTTGACAACAAAAACACAGGTAAATTATACCCATCAATATACTAACATTAAATATAATAAGTACAGAATTCATGCTCTTTTCAGAACTAGATATTGTGTTTCATGGGGTAAAGAGAAAATTATGTGTCTCTGCAAGTCATCTAGGAGTCTTCAGTGAAATCATAGATAAATAACAATTTTAATAAAATCGTATTAAATAATCAATTTATATCGATATTAGTACTTGTAAATATCAATTTTTATGCAGAATGATTATGCAGATTAGGTAAGAAATGACAATGGAAAAGATGTTTGCCCCAGAATCTGAAAGTGTTTTATCCACTTTACCTTTTATTTAGAAATTCAGATGTTTAAATATATGCGTCTATTTGTTAGTAAAGGCTGTAGGAAAGTATAGTTAGTCTTATTTTTGGCTTGACCTTGAGGTTCTGGCCCCTATCCGCTTTCGGCCCCCCCTCAGTGTACAGTGGTTATTGCCTGGCCACCCTTATAAAAATTTTCTGTCTACGCCTCTGTCTGGCAAGAAGCTGGTTAATCCTATCATCATTATCATCACTGCCATCTCCCTGGATTTATTTTAACTTTGACTAATTTTAAAACATGCTGGAGGATCTGACACATTTAACTGTGACAAAAAGGAGAAGAAAATGGGCTGCTTTAAGCCTCATAGTTCCTAATGAAGTGGCCATGCACTAACCTCCACCAACCAGTAGGGGGAGAATCAAAGCCTGCAAAATGAAAGTGAAAGTAAGGCTGAGAAAGTCGCTTTTTAACTTTTCTAACCAAATAACGGTGTTGACGGAGGTGATTGAAGGTGCTGAAAGGCAGACGCACGCGCAGCGCGACACGCCCCCCGCCGCCCCACGCGCATGGTATAGTAATAATAAAAAGAATAATAATCGGAGCTATTAGCAGAA